GGTTCAGTAGTAACAGCAGCAGCAGATAAAGCAACATGATCATGTGGTCCCGAATTTCTCGTATTCATTCCATGAGAGCGAACGGGTGAGGGCACGGGACGAGACCAACCACGAGGCCGGCCTCTTAGCCGAGGAGCCGGCTGGTCCGTGACTGTCCGCTCGGACTCGGTCATGGGCTCGGCGGTAGTAGGCTGCTGGCGGTGGTGGTCAGAAGCGGCTATGGGCGCAGCAGGAGGGTCACGAGTCGTGACAGTTGTCGGATCACCACCAGAAACAATTGGTACAACACCCCACTGCTCCTTGCGTGGTTTTGGAACCTGCGAATCCATAGAAGCAACAAAAGGAAAGACAACCTCATCGAATCGCACATGGCGACAGATAAAAACCTTGTTAGTGTTAGTGTCTAAACAACGATAGCCACGAAAAGATGGAGGATATCCTAGAAAGACACAAGGGGATGACCGAAACTGTAGTTTGTTGCGATTATAGGGACGCAGATTTGGAAAACATAAACACCCAAAAACACGCAGATACGAATAAGATGGAGGAAACCAATGCAAAAGATAATGAGGAGATTTATCAGATAAGACAGGAGTTGGCATTTTATTGATTAGATAAACCGCAGTTTCAAAAGCATAATCCCAAAAACGAGACGGAACAGAGGATTGAGCCATTAATACTAGTCCCGTTTCAACAACATGCTTATGCTTACGTTCTACCATGCCATTTTGTTCATGAGTATACGCACAGGATTGCCTGTGACGAATACCTAAGGACGCAAGAGTGGAACCAAGCTTTTTATATTCTCCCCCTAAATCAGATTGAAAAGAAATAATCTTGCGCAACTAGTGACCGAAACTTATCAAATATAGAATACAAATCAAATTTAGCACGCATGGGATAATACCACATATAACGAGTGTAATCATCCACAAACAACACAAAATATTTAAAGCCAGACGCAGAAAGTAATGGTGCAGGGCCCCAAATATCTGAATAAATTAATTCCAAAGGATGCGTGCTAGTAGTTTCGACACGAGACAAAGGAAAACGAGAAGATTTTCCTAATTGACAAGAGTAACAGACATTGGGAAGATCACTAGAATTAAATGTACTAACAGACGAAGACGCTAAAATTTTACGTAAGACTCGAGAATGAGGATGCCCCAACCGCATGTGCCAAACGTAAGAGGACCGTGCAGCAACAAATGCAGCAGGGGAAGCAGAAGACGCAGGCCATGTGTAGAGACCCCCAGACGCATGTCCCTTAAAAAGAACCTTCTTGGTCAAAATGTCTTTTACATAGAAACAAAGAGGGTGAAACTCAAAGAAAACATTATTGTCCTTTGCAAAACGCTGGACATATAATAGAGAAGAAGAGAGACCAGGGACATGCAAAACATCATGTAACTTAAAAGACATAGAATCAGTAGCTAACGAAGCAGAACCAACATTAACAATAGGCAAACCTGTACCATTGCCGACTCGCAGAGTCTCCAGGTCATCATAACTTGTCGCGGAAGTCATCAAAGAAGAATCAGGCGTAGCATGATTTGTAGCACCAGTGTCAAGGAACCACTGATGAGGACCGTTGGAATCACCATTATTACCAGAGACGGCCACATTAGCCTGAAAACCCAGAGCCCCTGAATAACACCGGAAACAGTTGGCTCCCGTGTGACCAAAACGGTTACAAATTTGACACGAATCATCATAGCGCCAAAAACAATTGGCTCCCGTGTGACCAAAACGGTTACAAATTTGACACGGATCATCATAACGCCAAACACAATTGGCTCCCGTGTGACCGAAACGGTTACAAATTTGACACGGATCATCAACGTCACATCGTTGACCGGATCGCTTCTCATACGGTGTATCTTGGTATGATGCCATCAGTTACTTCTACGAAGTGAGGAACATGGATGTTGGAAAAGAAAACCCTAGCTAACTGATACCAGATGAGAATATAATTGTGTTGTATTCAATGAATGATGTCTGAGAGTACATGGAGCGAATATATAGAGATGCTAGATAGAATCCTAGTCTAACACGAATAATATAGTCCTAGTCTAATATGGATAATAGAGTCCTAATAATCATAACTAAGTTGATGATTAGCCTGCAAGAGTTAAAAATAACTTCAATTTGATATACTTTTCTATTAAAATTCAAATTATTTTTTATATGATATATAACTACTTTTGAATTTCATCTATTTTTTTTAAATCATAAATTATAACAAAAAATTGTAATATGACGACATCTATGGAAATCTTACATGGTGATCACATAATAAAATTAAATATTTTGTCCTTTTTGGATGACAAAGGAAAAATGGTATTAGTTTTATAACTAGAATTTACAATTGAGAGTAGGCCAACACAATCCCTCAATTTGTAAGAAAAAATGCAAAGATAAATAATAAAGTAAAAGAATGTACTTTTTTTTTAATTACTTTTTACTTTAGAGAGCTAGAAAATCAAACCCCAAAAGCCCCCTTCTATGTATATATAGAGGTCTATTATACCAAAGTCAAAATAATAAATTCTTTTAAGAGTTTATTACCGAAATGGTCCCTCGACTATTGCGAAATTATCAATTTAGTCATCGACAATTTTTTTTACTCAATTAAGTCCTTGACTTTAAAAATGTTAATCATTTTGGTCCTCCGTTCAAACTTCATCCATAAGCTGTTAAATTTAAGGATAAAAAGGTAATTTCATATTTTTCTAATTTTAATTTTATTTCTTTTGGGAAGATGGAAGGAGATAGCAATCCCCAAGCCAGACCATGGCTCTTAGAGAAGACCCTCAACTAAACCCCTATCAACTCAAGGAACTCCAGAACACAGTCACAGCAGCGCTTGACTGCTTCTTTAGCTAGAGCATCCGCCGCCACACTTTGCCAATCAACCCCTTGCAAGCGATGATGATACCAGTGATAGGGCCAAGCAAGGTAAAATCACCATTTATCCACTCACCACTTCCTTGGCATCACTGCGGATCCAAAGCTTTGAAATATTCTTCTCCCAAGTCCACCTCAAGGCAGTATAAATGGCCCACGCCTCACTCTCCGCACACTGGTTCATTCGAACCATACAGCTAAAACCTGCTAGCCAACTACCACTGCATGATCGCATGACACCTCCACACCCAGATGGGAAGTCTCCAGAGGCAAATGATGCATCAGTATTGATCATCACCCAGTCTCTCCCGCCCCAATCTTCCGCCAAACTGCACCTCCGACAACTGAGACTCATCTCACGATCACAGGTGCCGTCGATAGTAAAACCCCGTCTGCATCTTTCAGCGTTACAAAGGATCCTCTAGTGGCAGAGAAGCCAGACAAAAGTGCATACCTTGTTCAGGACTCGCTGCTTCCAGATAATCTTCCATTCCTTCTTGTCCGGGATGCTCAAAGTTCCCTTAACAGCCTCATAAGCAGATGTTACCGAGAAACACCCCGAGCCTTCATAGTCCAGTAGATTTCATCAATCACGAACAGAGCCAGGTTTGTAACGGTAGCCGGCGGTACTTTCCTCGCAATCTCTCCCAATCCCAACCACTGCCGCGAATCCAATACTGATCCACTGTTAGAGACTCCTCAGGTAGAGGGTCGTCACCCACGAACTGGCCGGAAAATCTAAGACGACGATTTGGATTCGATGGCCAAGTTGTGCGGCTTTGACGATGGAGTCGGAGAATACGAGAAGCGAAGATACTATTGTAAACGCGAAAAACTTGAATTATATATATTCAAAATTCAAAGTATCGGTTACAAGTAGTATCAAGTATATATCAAACGGGAAAGGGTACAATCTCTGTATATGAGAAGTCCTCTGATTCTCTACTACAAGTATGCCTATTGGAAGTGTGCCAAATTTGGAATATGCCAAATTGGAAGTGTGCCGAGTTCAGAGTATGGCTGAACTTGAAGTTGTTCCTTGTTCCTTGTTGGAGGTGTGCCGAGTTCAGAGTATGCTGAACTGGAAGTATGCCGAGTTCAAAGTATGTTGAACTGAAAGTATGCTGAGTTCGGAAGTATGCCGAACGGGAAGTATGCCGAGTTCGGGAATATGCCGAACTGGAAGTATGCCAAGTTCGGGAGTATGTCGAACTGGAAGTATGCCGAGTTCGGGAGTATGCCGAACTGGAAGTATGCCGAGTTCGGGAGTATGCCGAACTGGAAGTATGCCGAGTTCGGGAGTATGTCGAACTGGAAGTATGCCAAGTTCGGGAGTATGCCGAGTTCGGGAGTATGTCGAACTGGAAGTATGCCAAGTTCGGGAGTATGCCGAACTGGAAGTAGTTCCTTGCTGAAGGGCCTCCGGAGTTATGTAGCTTGTTCTTCAATGAAGGGCTAATATGCAGCTTGATCTTCAAAGAAGGGCTCCCGGTGTTCAAACGGCGTGTTCTTCAACGCAATATACGCAGTATATATAACTGCAGGCGTGTTCCAGATGATTTCTCGGCGAGATTTCGGCAGAGCTTCGTTATATAGATTTCCAGCTCTCCTTCTTTGAAAATGAACCCACTATTTATAGTGGTGAGGGTGAGGAAAAATCTCCAACCAACTCTCAATTCCTTATTTAATTTAATTATTTTAATTAAATTAAGGAACGTATCGGGACACCATTGCGTCCAGGTTCATCATTTCATTAAATTTTAAATATTATCAAATAATCCAATTTCCTCAAAATTATGTAATCCACATATAATTTTGATGGGCCAAGACCAAGTCAAACCCGCTAATTAGGCAACCCAATTCATCCAAGCAGTCTGGTCCGACTCAATTAAATATTCCACCAACTTGGGCCGAATAATCCAACATCCAATTACATTTAATTAAGTAATTAGACTAATTAATTATTCAATGGGCCATTTAATTAACCCAATTAAATAAATATTGGTCCAATTAGCCTAATTAAAGTAATTAATTTAGCAATCTATTACCCACCATGGTCCAACAATATTATTAAATTTTTCAATGCTTACAAATTGCCCCTTCGAGACTTGCTTGACGTGCCTTTAATGCATAGGGAATGTAGTCTCGAAATTAACCGTAGCAGTCCAATTTTGGAGAAAGCAGTCCAATAAATGATATCTTGATGGTAGAACACCTAATTTGATAACAGCCCAATATTTATATTTTATAGCAGCCCAATATCCGAAGTTCATAGTATATCCAACGGCCCATTTCTTTTTTCACCTTAATTTTAACCAAGTTAATTTCTTTCCAGAATATTTTGAAAGAAATTAAACTTCAACACATGTACATTGAATATGCAGATCGACACATGTACGTCACTTTTTGCTTTTGCGAATTAGATTTTCATCAACTTTGGCTAATCTCCATTCAACCAAGCGTCTACATGGACTTCTGGAGTGATATTATTCGTCCCACTATACTCGCAATTTCATCAGCATGGGACTCTAGTCATAACATCAACCACAAAATCACAACAGGACTTGAATGAAACAAATTTTGAACCACAGATACACTCAAATTCATCCCTATCCCCGGCATTCCACAACTATAAATAGTTACTCCATGTTAGTTGCTTTGCATCCTCAATCGTCCAAGAGTAGCACAATAGCCTTCAGGTAATTTTCGAACATTAATTTCTGCCCCATATATATATGTATGTATTTAATTTTTGCAGCTTTTATCAAGAAACAAAGAGGGGAAGAATTGAGAGCATTGGATGGGACATCCTGGGAATTGATTTTCCGGGTTGTTTTCTCACCAATGCTTGGACTCGCCCGCCACCCATCGTGAATGGGGAAGAACAACAACTGAGAGACATTGGACATAAAGCACCTGTGAATTAATTTTCTCGGCCTGTTTTCACCATTGTCAAATTCTAATTGTCGGTCACTGCTAGGATGTCGCCTCAGGCACGTCTTTGTCGCTGTCACAAGGTTAAATGTCACCAAGCGCGTGCTCCGACACGTTGTTGTCGTCGACGGGGATGCTAATGGCTGTCGACAATGACACCATTTGGAGGATGGCTGTCGACAATGACACCATTTGGAGGGATGGCTGTCGACAATGACGCCATTTGGAGAGGAAAGCTATTGGATGGTCGCCGTGCTCCGACGAGTTGCCGTTGAACTAACATCGCAATGGAGAAACATCACCTCGATTCTGCTCTTCTGGAATTGGAGACTCATACAAAATGAATTGATTATTGCCTTACTTTCACATGTCCCGGGAGTTTTATGTTCACCACAGAACTATTGTCGAAGGACTTGACGGAGAGGAAGGCCTGTTGGGACGTCAGTGTCGCTTCAAACGCAACTACGGCGTTTAAAAAAACGTGAAACCCCTCTTCCCAGCCAAGTAAGGTGTTGCCTCATCGCTTTGGGAAAAAAAAAAAAAATTCCGCTGCATGACTGTTTGATTTTCGCCATGCTTGAACATATGTGCTATGTTTTCTCTTATTGAACTTCCTACTGAAATATGTATGCATTGAGAGTCTGGGAAGAGTGTATATATTGAGAGTAGAGGACCAAGCATCGCTTGGGCAGTGCCATCTTTCACTCCACTTTGCGTGTGTAAATGCATATACTCAACACATAGCATGGTCCACGTGGATATCGATGTATATATGTACGACGATGTGATCTTATGCTTCTTGAGCCATGTGCCTTGCCTTTCACTGTACCCATGTCAGTCTTTGCCTTGCGTGTAAACAAGCTGAAACATTCGCATGTTCTCACTTTGTTTGCCACGTCTGTGTTGTGCAAAATGCATGTGGCTACGAGTGCAATATACACACATTTACATAGCGCATGAGCTGGCAACTTGCATGTGTTGTGGGTGCATACAATACGGAGTATACGTAATCCTTGTTTCTCGCGCAATATATATATATGTAATGTGTAGTTCACCTTCATGCCCTCTGCTTCATGACTGCTTACGTGAATGTACACACATATGTATATAACAATATATGCAATGCACTAACTTCACACATATATGTATATAATAATATAATAATATATGTAACGCACTAAATTTAGTTGTGTTGTGCAAATTACATATATGTTTATATACATATAATATATAAAACATGGCCCATGTTTAATATATATATAATATACACATGCATCTTGTTTGCATGTATATATATATCACATATACGTGGTCCATAGGCATATATATTTAATGTTTTTGTTTTGCCCCACCATTTGCATGCACTGTAGATATATTACTCCACTACTGGTCCATGCGACTGTATATATATGTATACAATATATATATGTTTGGCATTTTCACCTTGCGGATCATATACATATGTACGTACATAATATATGCTTAGTGACGTAAGGAGTCTTGAAAAGATATGAGGCAGTTTCGACTCGTGCCAAGGAGTATCCTGTAGTGTCTTTCCTTTAAAATTGTAGCTTCCTCCCTTTAAGATTTCATGAAGGGTTTGCCCCTATGGCTGTGATTATGACACTTCTATCGCTTCTGAGGCGAATTTAGTCTCAAATGCCAAGGTAGAAGTCTCTCTCATTTAAGGGTTGACTCTGTTGACTCCAAAAGATGGGGAGAGCTTGAATGAGGCCATTTCCCCCTTAGTCATTTCTTTTTGTTGCAAAATTGATGTTGTTTATTTCCTCAACTCTTGATAATTGGGTGTTTCTCATTTTTGTGCTTGATTTTTAGCAAACTCGTACATCTTTGCTTTGACTTGTCGAATGATTTTCTTGATAAACCACTCTTGCAACATGAATTGGATTTGTTTTTTGTTATGACTGAACTTAGATAATTTGATTTCTAAGCTGCCTACGTACTCCTATAAAGGAGATCAAGTCAAACGTAGTTCAAATGATTTTTTTTTTAAAAGTAGAGCCGTTCACAGTTTAGACTCATGCGGGCCAGGAGCGTCTATGATTTGGGCCCACCCATAGACAAAGCGAGATGCATTAGCAGTTTAACCACGTGCTGCATTTTTGGTGGACGAGTCATTCATCATATCTTCATGACTTGTGTTGACACCCCAAGTTTAAGGGTGGTAAAGCTTTAGGAACCTTCCATTGATTGGACCAATCTTCAAACCATCTTCACTAATCAGCTTGTAAGCCCCACCGGTGTAGACTTCTAGAATCACGTAGGGACCATCCCACCTTGAAGTGAACTTGTGACCAGTTTTTCTCGTGACGATAATGGGCCTGCGAACAGCTAGGACTTTGTCCCCAATTTGAAAGGAACGGGTCCTTACCCTTTTGTTAAAAGCTCTAGACATGCGAGCTTGATAGCACTCCAAGCTTTGTTGCGCCTGCAGACGTTTTTCATCCAAGGCTTCTAGCTCAGCCAAGCGTAGCTTAGCATTTTCTTCATCGGTAAGACCCTCTTGTATAGCCAACCTTAAGGAAGGTATTTGGCGCTCTAGAGGCAAGACCGCTTCTACACCATACACCAAAGAGTATGGAGTGCTTTGAGTGGGTGTGCGGTATGTGGTTCTATACGCCCACAAAGCTTCTTCCATTCTGTCATGCCAGTCTCTTTTCGATTTTGAGACCACTTTCTTCAACAAATTGCATAGGGTCTTATTAAAAGCTTCAGCAAGCCCATTTGCAGCTGCATAGTAAGCGGATGAGTTTCGCTGCTTAAAGTCAAAAAGCTTGCAGATCTTGTCCATCAACTTGTTGTCAAAGGGCTTCCCGTTATCTGTTAAGATATATCGCGGGATACCAAATCGATAAACGATGTGGACACGGAGAAAGTCTGCAACATTTTCTTTCTTCACTTCCTTCAATGCCACGGCTTCCGCCCACTTTGAAAAGTAGTCGGTGGCAGCTAATATATATGCATGCCCTGCAGATGACTTAGGCGTAATTGGGCCAACCACATCAAGTCCCCAAGCATCAAATGGCCAAGATGCAACTGTTGGGTGCAGAGGTTCTGGTGGTTGATGGATAAAGTTTGCATGATATTGACAAGCTTGGCACCTTCGAGCATAGTCTATGCAATCCTTTACCATTGTAGGCCAATAATATCCCATTCGCTTAATGTGGAAATGTAACTTGGGACCGGATTGATGTGCACCGCAAACCCCAAAATGAGCTTCTTGCATAGCTTGTAAAGCTTCCTCTTCCCCTAGACATCAGAGAAAGACTCCCTCGAATGAACGACGATACAACGCCTCTTTATAATAGATGAAGCGAGGAGCTCGACGCTTTATATCCACCCTCTTACGTGGATCTTCGGGTAACTTTCCCTCAGCGAGGTAGTCAATTAGCGATTGCCTCCAGTCGTCTTTGCCTATATCATAAACTGAGGCAGTAGGGAGTTCAACAGTTTCATCAACTGATCCGTCTTCATTAAAGATTGGTGGAACTACCCACTTTTGACATACCCGCACTCGGGCTGCAGGATGAGTAATAGTTGAAGCCAATGCGGCTAAGGCGTCAGCCTGCTTGTTTTCTTTCCTCGGTACGTGTTCAATTGTAACGTCCCATAACCATTGCATGAGTATCTTTGCGTAGTTGTTATATGGGACTAACTCCGCCTTTTTCACTTCATATAGACCCAACACTTGGTTTATGATCAACTTTGAATCTCCATAAATGTTAATTCTCAGTTGTTTCATATCAGCCGCTATTTCGAGCCCAAGTATCAATGCTTGGTACTCAGCAACGTTGTTTGAACATTGCTCGGTCAAGGTGAATGAATATGGCAACACCTCACCTTCTGGAGTGACGAAGACAACTCCAGCACCTGCCCCTTCTCTATGTGAAGCTCTATCAAAGTACATCTTCCATGGGGGTAGTATTTCAATGACAAGCACATCTTCATCAGGCAAATCATCAGACAACTCCCATTCAGCAGGTATTGGGTGATCTGCGAGGAAATCAGCTAAGGCTTGCCCCTTGACAGACTTCTGCGGCACATAGATGATTTCAAACTGTTGAAACAATAAGTACCACCTTGCAAGGCGGTCGGAGAGCACGACCTTCGCCATAACATACTTCACCGGGTTCGCTTTGGAAACAAGCCGGATGGTATGAGCCTCAAAGTAGTGTTTAAGTTTTTTGATGGCAAATACCAATGCCAAACATAGCTTTTCAATTGGGGAGTACTTTAACTCGTTCGGGGTCATCATTCTACTAAGATAGTAGAGAGCATTCTCCTTCCCCTTGTCGTTTTCCTGAGCAAGCAAGGCGCCCACAGAACAATCCTGGGCGGAGATATAAAGGATCAGCGAGCGACCGTGAACAGGAGCAGTTAACACAGGCGGCTTCATCAAGTATGACTTGATACTCTCAAATGCGTTTTTGCATGCCTCATCCCATATGAATGGGACGCCCTTTTTCATCAACCGACTAAAAGGTTGACATCTTCCCGCTAGGTTTGATATGAACCTTCGGATGTAAGCCAACTTCCCTTGTAAGCTTTTAAGCTCATGAAGGTTCCTCGGCTCGGGCATCTTCATTATGGCGTCAATTTTGGCTTGCTCAATCTCGATGCCCCTGTGTCGAACAGTAAACCCGAGGAACTTTCCAGCGACAACCCCAAAAGCACATTTCAGGGGGTTCATTTTTAGTTGAAACTTTCGTAGGCGGTCGAAGACTTGCCTTAAATGCACCAAGTGATTTGTGCGCCGTTTTGACTTCACAACTAGGTCGTCTACATAGCATTCGACCATTTTGTGCAGCATGTCGTCAAATATTGTCTGCATAGCCCGTTGGTATGTAGCACCTGCATTTTTCAAACCAAAGGGCATTACTTTATAGCAGTAGATGCCTTTTGGCGTTCGGAATGCAGTTAAGTCTTCATCTTCCGGCGCCATGCGGATTTGATTGTAACCGGAGGAGCCATCCATGAATGACAGGATCTCATGCCCAGTCACGGCATCTATCATTAACTCCGTGATAGGAAGCGGGAAGTCATCTTTCGGGCATGCCACATTGAGGTCCCGAAAATCTACGCAGACGCGGATTTGTCCGTTCTTCTTGCGCACGGGCACAATACTAGATATCCAGGTTGGATATTTAACTTCACGAATGAAGCCAGCCTCAATAAGCTTATTAACTTCTGTTTCAATCGAGGGAATGAGCTCGGGGCGGAAGCGTCGTTGAGCTTGCTTAACCGGGCGACACCCCTTCTTCACCGCTAAGCGGTGCACAGCTACCTTTGGGTCTAACCCAGGCATCTCCTTATACGTCCATGCAAAAACATCTATATATTCTTTCAGCAATGTGACATAGATTTCTTCATCTTCATCAGATAGGAGTGCGCTAATGAAGATAGGACGAGGATTTTCAGGAGTTCCCAGATCAACTTCTTTTAATTCGTCCACCGCGGCTCGTACCCCTTCTTCTAACTCATGGGGTGCATCTTCTGCATCTTCCCCCTCAATCGGGGTTTCATCACATAAAGTGATATGGAACGATGATGCCACCTCTTCCTGAGTAGTTGGTGGTACGTCATCACTTGAGCCTACGCTTTCCTCATTTTCCTCTTTATGTACGCGAGTGTGTACAATAGTCTTCGGTTGGACTTTCAACACTTCACCGCATGA